CTGAACATCATTGAAAACGCACCAGTATAAAATTGTCCATATTTTCATCAAGATGTATTTCAGCAAGACAATGATCAATGAACATAAATAACATGAAGTCGAAGGGCACGTCCACTTGAAAAAATGCTTTAGAAACAAATTGACTCTTAATTCCAAAATGAATCAACATACAGCCACGCCATGAAAAAAGCGCGAATTTCATTCTGAAATCATACTGACAGTGACATTAAAAGCAGGTGTATGAGAACCGATTGTCATTGCTTCACTAACGATTGTGAAACGAGGAGTGAGATCCCGAAGTAAACACCTCATATCACGAAAGAGAACGTGCACTAGGCATGATTCAGGTTGGCACCAGCAGCAGGGATATTGCTCGACAACTTGGACTTGGCCACTCCGACATCGTTAGGCTTCATAGACGACATCAGTAGACAGGCAACACCCGTGACCTTCAATGACCTTGGCAACAACGTGTTACGACGCTCCGTCAGGATTGCCATATTGACCTTGTCCATATCAGTGATTGAACACTGCCGACTGCCAGGACTTCTGCACTAGTTCAAGGTTGACGTGGGGGTCATCAGCGCTGACTCCATGCGACGCCGTCTACATGCTACAGGGCTCCATGCTCGACGTCCCTACGTTGGACCAATTCTGCTTGACAGACACCGTAATGAGCGTATGCAATGGGCTAGGTAGGCATTTTCAGTAAAGGTTACAGCAATGGCATGGTGTGGTAGTCACTGACGAGTGACGTGTTCATCTACATTATGCTGACGGCCGATTAAGTGTTTGGCGTAGACATGGTGAACGTTATGCTGATGAGTGTGTGGTTCAGACAGACCTTTGGGTGGTGGGAGTGTCATGGTCTGGGGTGGAATAAATTACAATCACAGGACTGCTTTCATGTCTGTCAAGGCAGAGTTAATGCCCTTTGTTACCGTGAGCAGATTCTTCAGAATCACATCGTATCTGTCTTCAATCACCACCAAGATGTCCATACTTTTCAACAGGACAACGCACGGGCACACACAACAAGACTTTCCATGCAGTATCTGGCCCAGCAACACATCCAGGTTATTCATTCGTTGTTTTTGTCAGTCGTCCATCTGTTATAATCCACTCAAAAAATATCAAATCCTTACACGTGCTTTTAATAATCTGAACTTTTATCAGTGGTGCGTCTCAATGATGTTCAGTATGTTATATACCCACTTGCTCTATCCAGATGTGGAGAGTCTTCACCGAAAGCGGACATCAAAGACAATGTGCAAATATTGACACCATGGCCTTAATTTCGGCGTCTGAATATATTTTATGGGATATCAAATAAAGGTACATTAGTGTATACTAGTTAGGATATTTATTTCCTTAAACCACACAAACGTTATAGCTTTCATATTCTAATTATCATGTTATTCTTAAATCATATTGTCACGAAAGTTTAATATTGAAAGTGTTTCTGGAATGTACGATCAATATATTGCGTCACAAGTGCTTGTTAATGACAAATGCATGCATATTGCCAATTATCACCTTTCGAGACAATCAGTCTGACCAATGGAAATGTGAATTTTGTAATTATGATGCCCTTGTGTACACTAATAAACTTGGTCACATCGCTAACTTAAACTCACTCACTTCACAGGGGACCGCCTCAATCAGTAAGAAGGACCGCAGGTGTAAGTTGCTCCGCTGTATCTAGTTCAGTATTCGATATTTATCGTACTCTAATGTTGTATTGGTTGTATGATCAATAAGGGAAGTGGTTGTAGAACGTCGGGTATTGTGGTGTAACGTCGTTGTATATTCTTTCTTCAGGCGCTCTCTTCCACGTGTGGCCATTGCAATTGGGCGAGGAAATATGGATACGGCCTAATTAAATCATCGGGATATGATAATATTAGACAAAACCTAAGAAGGGCTGTACTTGGTGTTGATCACCTCTTTTCCTTAGCAACAGTCTTGAGCAAAAGGTTTTATTTTCCGCTCTGTACAACGGGAAGTATTATATCTTGTTTCTTCAATAGAAAACGTCGTGTGATTGTAGCTTACATAGATACATTTCTATGGTTTTCATTCATTTTTACATTCTGTCTCATTAGATCTATCTCTTTAGTTGAACGGGTGTTTTATGTCTCAGCCAAGGGTTTTGACCAATATCAAGAAGCAGAAGTTCAGTCTGTTTTCCTATCAGTAACGTTCAGGAGAGATGTATGTGTGTATCCAAATAAATATTTATTATGCTGACGTCTGAACGATTTGTTAACGTTGTTGTTTTTTGTTTGGGCCTCCATAGGACAGAGAGCTATGATACTACAAGACCGCCGCATCTTTGCTGTTTGCTTCGAACACTCCTCTAGGTGTCTTATAGGACTAGCACCGGAACCTGGCGAATGAAGCATGTTTGTTTACAAAACGTCCACACACATGGCAAGGGATGAATACACCTTGGCATATTTGGCACACATTTGGGTAAGGGATGTGCACTTTTTCCACAGCAACGGCCGCTCATCAAATAAAGTAAACTGTTTCATATTCGGGAAAAGACCCCCAAATCGCATAGATCTACCAGCACAGATACAGGAACTGATACCCTAACCGTCCTCGCAGTTCATATTTGCATGGATTCCTGCACTTCTAAAATGCCTCTGATATGCCCCTGATTTTAAGCATTAGAGGCTATAACGCTGGTGATAATCACATGCGACAGAACCTGGTGTAACCTATGTATATGTATTACGCACTTTAAGGCTTTATTAACCTATATCGTGTCATATCATAGATACATAGGAAAAGAAGTGGGGCACACTTCATACACTGTGACATCTTGCTGAGGTTGAAATGTGATCGATCAGTTACGTACACTAAACGCCAAAAGAAACGTTACCCTCCTTCCTTAATGACGAGGTACCTATATTCAACTGGCGTTGTAATGCGTGGACGTCCACTTCTTGGTCTGTCTACGGTGACTCCAGTCTGTCTGAAGCCCTGAATAAGTCTTATATATATAATACCCGTGATACGATGGCGTCCGAGGGGGTTGGCAACAACATTGTATGTCGACCCCATCTGCACCATTACAATGGCTTTTTCTCTCACTCTTCAGCTGTTAATCGTGGCATATTTCTCGTAGTTGTGTATCATATCATGCATTCTAGGCTCTCTTTACACGCGATAGAATCATTCTACGTGTGAAATGGATGCAATTACTGCGTGCATATTGCTGCGTTTTGGCGATTGATATTGCTATGTGTAAACGGAAAATGGAAAAATGTTACTTTGAAAGCAAAGATGTTAACAAAGATAATTTTACATATTCCTAAACATTTTTTCACAATATCAAAGACACGTTTTACTTGTTTTCACTTATGCAAATCAGCAGAAAATGTTTTAAAAGACTGAAATTATAGGAATGATTATTTTACAATTTTGCACACTCTACAACAGCTGTTTTTTTGTTTTAATAGTTGAAAAATGGTGTCTTTAAATGGTTTTATCCTATAGTTTGGCATGAAATGCATGTGGATCCGCTTTTTTGTAAATATCTCTTCATCTATTGACCCAATCGATCTCAAACTGTGCAAGTGGATGTTTTGTCAGACAACCTAATCACATTGTAAATCACCGATTTTATGCATTTGTATTAAAGAATCTGTCTATGTAACTGTCAACAAAATAAACAGCAGACCGCAGACTGCTTGCAGAGGGAGGGAGCCAATGACCTGTCACAGCGGCAGTGTTGGGTCATAAAGGTCAACGTTCGTCAATGTAGGTCAGCTATGTACGTTTCATGTAATCCGACGCCTTATAAATCGGTTTGCTACGTTTGCTCTCTTTTTAAAAAAAATTCAACACATTTCTAATATAGAACAAGTTTTATGGATAACAACTTCTTTATTTCGTGAGTGCGACGTTTCGATACAGATTCTTGTACCGTTGTCACTCTTGCTTGACAACGGTACAAGAATCTGTATCGAAACGTCGCACTCACGAAATAAAGAAGTTGTTATCCATAAAACTTGTTCTATATTGTACGTCTCAACTTCTAAAATGCCACTCAAACAAGTTAACACATTTCTAATTAAACGTTTAGCATCATCTGAATAAGCTTTCATGATGACAGCTAGAAGTAGTCAATGTGAATGATCCAAACGGTCTATCACTGTGCAGTGCACAGGTAACTATCATGAACTGCACGTGCATTTACCTTTATGACCCAACACTGCCGCTGTTACAGGTCATTGGCTCCCTCCCTCTGCAAACAGTCTGCGGTCTGCTGTTTATTTTGTCTGACAAAACATCCACTTGCACAGTTTGAGATCGATTGGGTCATTGGATGAAGAGATATTTACAAAAATCCGGGTCCACATGCATTTCATGCCAAACTATAAACCAGAATTATATTTCAACCTTTCATTTGGACATCTAAATCACTGTTATTGGTATATTTCGGCATCGGCGAAAATAGGACAATTTAACTGTTCTGAAAAAGATGCATTTCACCTAAATGTGAATGCATTTGAGATTTTGTTTCGTGATTTGCATAAAGCTGTGTTGTTAGGCTATCTTGTAAACTAATACCTTCTAACATATCTGTGATAGTTTTTAAGTAAATCATAGATGTATGAGGGTAACCTTTCTTTTTGCGTTTAGTCTATATGCTGTAAACCGTCCGTGGAATCTGGGAGCTGGCCAATGAAAGCTCGGGAGTCAGAAATGCTGGAAGACATGCTGTGATGACAATGAAAGGAGGCGCCTTCTGACTACATTTTCTCGCAGTACATTGAATGTCGAGTCGCGATGGATTCTTGACGCGAAACCTATGGTTAGAATGCGTCCAAATACATCCTGATTTCGTCCAACGCCCGAAACAACACATTTCACATGACTGCTTGTTTATAAATTGCTGCTGAATGTCCCTGAAAGCGTTCAAAGCGCATGTTTCAAATGCCACACGAATTTATTGCACCGGTAAATATCTGGACAGAAGACTAGAATGATGAATAACCGTTTATTATGAATCGATATATACACATCAGAAATAGGTATGCTTTAAATGAATGGAATATGTTGCAAAACTGTGCCTACATATTTGCTGAGAGAAAATATTGATAATATAGTTGATGCGTGATTAGATACCTTCTTTGTTGGAAGCATCTGTCTCCATATTTTAGAAAATGTGCAAGATCATAATAATATTTCTAAATACCTAAATACTTATATTTGGCCGATGTACACTGTTGTATTTCAAAGCAATTTTATCTCAAGACTGAAAAAAAAATGACAGCTGACATTGTCCATTTTACATTACAATTATGTTCAACTGAAAGGTGTTCACATTTCATTAAAGACAGAATCACCCCTTTCATTCCAAACATGTAACAACAGGAAATTCAAGAACGTTATCTTACGAAGCAATTTCGCTGATATGCAATCTGACTAATATCAGCGTATATTCTGGTTGGATGCCATGTATTTTGACTCATGTATGATTGACACAGAATTACATAACCCCAGTGATAATTTGTAGCAAGCTTGCATTTGGTTGTGTAGTTTGATAATATTCTTCAATGTAATCTAAGTTGGTGTTACCGTTGTCTCTTCAATATAATACCAGTATTTTCTGAATTAAACGTACTAAGTCATGCTATATTTATACATGGTTATCCATGCTGATTGTAGAGTATTTGTATCGTCGGATTCTACCGAACGTTCGGGTGTTTCGTGCCATATTCCATTACACTTTAAATGACATAACACCAAGTCTAAACTCCACGTACATGGCATGGCATTCCAACTCATAACGACTGACCATACTGTCATACGCTTCTTTCGCTGGTTACATAAAGTATTACATGTCAAACTTGACATTGAAGTTTTTGACATTGGTTGTAGGTTCTTCGTAGAGAGGATAACATGCAACAGTTGTTGAACTTCAGGCAAAATCTGCTTTAAGAATGCTGGTACGAGCAGGATGTTTCACTCTACAATATCCTGTGGTGAGTTATTCATTATTACATTAGTAATGATAGCACACCAATACATTATTAAGACAGATAAGACCGTTGAACTCCAGAAAAATATAGTTAATGGTATAGAATTAACTTGATTATGTTCGTAATATGTGACTGCAGTTGAGTAATATCATAAAATGTACGAAAGCAAATAGTACATCGCCAAGAGGTTGTATGACATTTTATAAAAATATGTACATCAAAATATAAAATATACACAGTGCACCCCATGGACATGTCTGTTTCTGTGACGCGAAGATAAGAGTATTTTAAGAGGCTGCTTTTCATTTGGTGAAAAAACATACAAATTCAAAGCATAGTCAATTAATAAGTAGGTAACGGTTGGGAGTATTACTACATGTAGTCGGCATGTTGGTTGCACAGTAAGAATAAAACGAAATGTGTTTACATCGTGTCTATACGAGTATCCAGTTGAAGGTAGGATCTTCCCTTAACCATCTCCACAGATGAAAGGTCAGAACATGGATGACAACTCGGGAAGTACAACAAAACCTGTTCCAGGCCCATTTAAGATAGCTGTCTAGGTTGGTACAAACAAAATACAGATCTGATAAAACGGAATACATAACTGGCATGATCTGGTATATATTGCAATCCTGAATTTCTCTTGTGGACAGATCGCATGGCTTGTGTCTGTTCTGCCAATTAAGGCATCTCCCGTATCCTATAGCCTGATATATCCTCTCGATAGCCATCAGCAGAATATATGATGGGTCTTGGTGCGTCATAGTATTGTGGGCGAGTGGCATAGGTTGGGTATTCCACTGGAATAACCTTGGGTTGGTAGGGGTCCAGAGCATACTGAGGATTGTCATAGAAGTATGGCTCGCGAAACGCCTTCTCGGAATATGGACGACGTCTGTGTTTGTTGTCAGCCAGAAACTTTGCAGCCAAACCATAGCAGATAGCAGTAATTGCAGCAAGGATTAATCCAACCCAAGCGACAATGTAAGATTCCTTGAATTCACGCACCGTCGCCAACTTCAGCTCCTGAAATGATGACACAACACTGAGCAACAGGAACAAAAAATATGCCCCTACAACCTTTAAAATAAAAGATGCGCATGACAGATCGCACAAATACAGAGGCATTATAACTGTAAGTTAGAAAACCGGATATATATCATATATCATATGTATATACTTACATTTGGCCACATTTGATAATATTTCTGTCGGTCTGTCAGCACGTCTCTCACTTGTTCCCTCTGCACATATATGGACGCGTGGAATAGGGCCATGCCGAGGGCAAGGATGAATGCTGAACGGAAGAAAAACAAAACGTTATTTTTGTTGGAAACAATTCATAGTCACAGCTGCTCCCGGCGCACCATCAGCATTTGCATTTACAAAAACAAAGTGACAATACAGATAGTCTCACAAAACATGCAACCCTGAAATACACAGATGTCAAAACGTATGAAACTGTCGGGTTTGAAACATGTCGCTGTGTGATTCTGTGATAGTATGTGTGTAATGAGATGGCAGATTTTGTTAATCAAAAAATTTACTGTCATATCCTCATACAGAAATAATCATGTATCACACACAGAGCAGAGACTGACACGTCATCACACAGAGACTATCATGCATCACACAGAGACTGACATGTTACGACACAGAGACAATCATGTATCACACACAGAGACTGACATGTCACCACACAGTGAAAATCATGTATCACACACAGAGACTGGCATGTCACCACACAGAGACAATCATGTATCACACACAGAGACTGACATGTCACCACACAGAGACAATCATGTATCACACACAGAGACTGACATGTCACCACACAGAGACAATCATGTATCACACACAGAGACTGACATGTCACCACACAGAGACAATCATGTATCACACACAGAGACTGACACATCACCACACAGAGACAATCATGTATCACACACAGAGACTGACATGTCACCACACAGAGACAATCATGTATCACAGACAGAGACTGACATGTCACCACAAAGAGACAATCATCTATCACACACAGAGGCTGACATGTCACCACACAGAGACAATCATGTATCACACACAGAGACTGGCATGTCACCACACAGAGACAATCATGTATCACACACAGAGACTGACACATCACCACACAGAGAGAATCATGTATCACACACAGAGACTGACATGTCACCACTCAGAGACAATCATGCATCACACGGAGACTGACATGTCACCACACAGAGACAATCATGTATCACACACAGAGACTGACACGTCACCACTCAGAGACAATTATGTATCACACACAGAGACTGACACATCACCACACAGAGACAATCATGTATCACACACAGAGACTGACTTGTCACCACACAGAGACAATCATGTATCACACACAGAGACTGACATGTCACCACAAAGAGACAATCATGTATCACACACAGAGACTGACACGTCACCACACAGAGACAATCATGTATCACACACAGAGACTCGCATGTCATCAGACAGAGACAATCATGTATCACACACAGAGACTGACATATCACCACACAGAGACAATCATGTATCACACACAGAGACTGACATGTCACCACTCAGAGAAAATCATGTATCACGCACAGAGGCTGACATTTCACCACTAAGAGACAATCATGTATCACACACAGAGACTGACATGTCACTACACACACAGAGACAATCATGCATCACACACAGAGTAGAGACTGACATGTCACCACACAGAGACAATCATGTATCACACACAAAGACTGACAGGTCACCACACAGAGACAATCATGTATCACACACAGAGACTGACATGTCATCACACAGAGACAATCATGTATCACACACAGAGCAGAAACTGACATGTCACCACACAGAGACAATCATGTATCACACACAGAGACTGACATGTCACCACACAGAGACAATCATGCATGACACAGACTGACATGTCACCAAACAGAGACAGTCATGTATCACACACAGAGACTGACATGTCACCACAGAGAGACAATCATGTATCACACACAGAGACTGACAGGTCACCACTAAGAGATAATCATGTATAACACACAGGGACTGACATGTCACCACACAGAGACAATCATGTATCACACACAGAGACTGACATGTCATCACACAGAAACAATCATGTATCACACACGGAGCAGGGACTGACATGTCACCACAGACAGACAATCATGTATCACACACAGAGCAGAGACTGACATGTCACCACACAGAGACAATCATGTATCACACAGGGACTGACATGTCACCACACAGAGACAATCATGTATCACACACAGAGACTGACATGTCATCACACAGAAACAATCATGTATCACACACGGAGCAGGGACTGACATGTCACCACACAGAGACAATCATGTATCACACACAGAGCAGAGACTGGCAGGTCACCCCTAAGAGACAATCATGCTTCACACAGAGACTGACATGTCACCACACAGAGACAATCATGTATCACACACAGAGACTGACATGTCACCACATAGAGACAATCATGTATCACACACAGAGCGGAGACTGGCATGTCACCACACAGAGACAATCATGTATCACACACAAAGACTGACAGGTCACCACACAGAGACTATCATGTATCACACAGACTGACATGTCACCAAACAGAGACAATCATGTATCACACACAGAGACTGACATGTCACCACAGAGAGACAATCATGTATCACACACAGAGACTGACAGGTCACCACTAAGAGACAATCATGTATAACACACAGGGACTGACATGTCACCACACAGAGACAATCATGTATCACACACAGAGACTTACATGTCATCACACAGAAACAATCATGTATCACACACAGAGCAGGGACTGACATGTCACCACAGAGAGACAATCATGTATCACACACAGAGCAGAGACTGACATGTCACCACACAGAGACAATCATGTATCACACAGGGACTGACATGTCACCACACAGAGACAATCATGTATCACACACAGAGACTGACATGTCATCACACAGAAACAATCATGTATCACACACGCAGCAGGGACTGACATGTCACCACACAGAGACAATCATGTATCACACACAGAGCAGAGACTGGCAGGTGACCACTAAGAGACAATCATGCTTCACACAGAGACTGACATGTCACCACACAGAGACAATCATGTATCACCGACAGAGACTGACATGTCACCACACAGAGACAATCATGTATCACACAGGGACTGACATGTCACCACACAGAGACAATCATGTATCACACACAGAGACTGACATGTCATCACACAGAAACAATCATGTATCACACACGGAGCAGGGACTGATGTGTCACCACACAGAGACAATCATGTATCACACACAGAGCAGAGACTGGCAGGTCACCCCTAAGAGACAATCATGCTTCACACAGAGACTGACATGTCACCACACAGAGACAATCATGTATCACACACAGAGACTGACATGTCACCACATAGAGACAATCATGTATCACACACAGAGCGGAGACTGGCATGTCACCACACAGAGACAATCATGTATCACACACAAAGACTGACAGGTCACCACACAGAGACTATCATGTATCACACAGACTGACATGTCACCAAACAGAGACAATCATGTATCACACACAGAGACTGACATGTCACCACAGAGAGACAATCATGTATCACACACAGAGACTGACAGGTCACCACTAAGAGACAATCATGTATAACACACAGGGACTGACATGTCACCACACAGAGACAATCATGTATTACACACAGAGACTTACATGTCATCACACAGAAACAATCATGTATCACACACAGAGCAGGGACTGACATGTCACCACAGAGAGACAATCATGTATCACACACAGAGCAGAGACTGACATGTCACCACACAGAGACAATCATGTATCACACAGGGACTGACATGTCACCACACAGAGACAATCATGTATCACACACAGAGACTGACATGTCATCACACAGAAACAATCATGTATCACACACGCAGCAGGGACTGACATGTCACCACACAGAGACAATCATGTATCACACACAGAGCAGAGACTGGCAGGTGACCACTAAGAGACAATCATGCTTCACACAGAGACTGACATGTCACCACACAGAGACAATCATGTATCACCGACAGAGACTGACATGTCACCACACAGAGATAATCATGTATCACACACAGAGACTGACATGTCACCACATAGAGACAATGATGTATCACACACAGAGCGGAGACTGGCATGTCACCACACAGAGACAATGATGTATCACACACAGAGACTGACATGTCACCACACAGAGACAATCATGTATCACACACAGAGACTGACACGTCACCACACAGAGACAATCATGTATCACACACAGAGACTGACATGTCACCACACAGAGACAATCATGTATCACACACAGAGACTGACACGTCACCACACAGAGACAATCATGTATCACACACAGAGACTGACACGTCACCACTCAGAGACAATTATGTATCACACACAGAGACTGACACATCACCACACAGAGACAATCATGTGTATCACACAGAGCAGAGACTGACATGTCACCACAAAGAGACAATCATCTATCACACACAGAGGCTGACATGTCACCACACAGAGACAATCATGTATCACACACAGAGCAGAGACTGACATGTCACCACACAGATACAATCATGTATCACATAGAGACTGACATGTCACCACTAAAAAACAATCATGTATTACACACAGACACGGACATGTCACCACACAGAGACAATCATGTATCACACAGAGATTGACATGTCACCACACAGACAATCATGTATCACACACAGAGACTGACATGTCACTACACAGAGACAATCATGTATCACACAGAGACTGACATGTCAACACACAGAGACAATCATGTATCACACACAGAGCAGAGACTGGCATGTCACTACACACACAGAGACAATCATCTATCACACACAGAGACTGACATGTCACCACACAGAGACAATTATGTATCACACACAGAGACTGACATGTCACTACACAGAGACAATCATGTATCACACAGAGACTGACATGTCAACACACAGAGACAATCATGTATCACACACAGAGCAGAGACTGGCATGTCACCACACAGAGACAATCATGTATCACACAGAGACAATCATGTATCACACAGAGACAATCATGCATCACACAGAGACTGACATGTCACTACACAGAGACAATCATGTATCACACACAGAGACTGACATGTCACAACACAGATACAATCATGTATCACACACAGAGCAGAGACTGACATGTCACCACACAGAGACAATCATGTATCACGCACAGAGACTGACATGTCACTACACAGAGACAAGCATGTATCACACACAGAGACTGACATGTCACCACACAGACACAATCATGTAGCACACACAGAGCAGACACTGACATGTCACCACACATATGATGTGATGTAATCACACACAGACTGTCATAACATCACACAGAAACAATCATGTATCACACACAGACACTGACATGTAACCACACAGAGGCCCGGTGTCCCCCGCCGTGATATTGCTGGAATATTGCTAAAACCGGCGTAAAACCATATTCACTCACTCACAGATACTCGAGTCAGCATCTACTCACTGATTCCAGTGATGCTACTTGATTGTTTAGAAGTGACATACGTACCGGCTATAAAGCAGAATATGGAGGCATAGCATGCCTGAGAATGTAATCTCCTGACACAGAGGCACAAGCCCAGGATGTATGCAACTACGAATACGACCTCTGCCACTACGAATAAGGCCATGAAGGACGTGTACAATCCTGAAACGAGAATCATATTCAGATATATACTGGTACTGAACACACTGCCTACACACATGGCATTAATGTGTGCTCTACATGACAATGGCTCCATCCCTAAACCTTTTTTGTGGGTTATTTACATCATGATACATTGCTTTCAACATAGTTTTGAGTCAATGGTTTTACATAGCAAACAAACACTGCCTCAACACGGTTGAAATAATGATATTAATGTTGTCAACAGTTTCGGTGACAAGGAAGTTATATTATATTCACATCTATATATTAGTGGTAAACATAATTGAAATATATATAATTATGCCCGTCAACAAATAATATTCGAAACGATTTGTCCAAGTTTTAGTACATCTGGCATAACATCATTGCAGGTTCGTTTATATGAAACTGAGAGTCTGGTACTGTTATTAAGTCAAATCTTGGGACATTATTCCAAGGTCCCGCAGCATGATGGGATCCAATTACAATGTGCCCGGTACGTCAAGTATACATATGAACATGTCTTAATATAAATAAGAACTTCTCTCATAAACGTATTGCAATTATTTGCAATATGTTTTCCTGTGACAAGATTTGAACATTTATTCACTTAAGGGTTATTCTGATAATGTCAGGAAGATAAGTTTTCATTGAAGTCAAAGTCGTACTCTTCTTCAGTTTCTCCCTGCATACACTTTTCAGAGTACAACGGTTAATGTCACATTGTCTTACAAAGTCTGTTGTCAATGGCAGTTGTCATTTTTCAATGAACACAACGAACCGTGAAATACACAAATAATAGGACACTCCAAAACCGAGAATGAACAATAATCTCTACATATATGTTCATGTCAATTATTTACGATTAAGTGGTTTCTACAGAACATAAAGTTTTTTTCAGATAATAATCAAACGAACGTGTTATCTGCAGGTAACAGTAAATAGATAACTGTGGATACTTCCGTAGTTAAATTACTGCTTACACAAATGCTGTTACTTTTTGTGGGATGTTTAATTTGATCCCAGAAGTACTTGACATTACGACAGCTATTCATTATGTCTTCCTCACACATTTCCTTCTTGTGGTCACACAAATAACGATAAGAATGTCTAAAATTTATGACGAAACATTAACTTCGCCGATCTATCTAAAACGATGCATGCTTTACTTTTAAGCCTCTGTTTCGTATTTACACTCTTCGTCACAACGGTCACATCGATTGTACTTGTACATTTAGAGGACATGACTAGCCAGTAGGGGAAACAAAGAACGCACAACGTATCAGTAATATTTTTTTCTAACTGCATAAATTATAACCTGGATACTCAAAAGTCAGGTGAAAATGTACAGTGACTTTTTGCTTACCTTCCTACACAGTGTCCGTTTAAATGTTACAGAGCATTGCTCGACCGCCATGCACTTAAGCGTATTTGGCGTGTATAGTGACCATACAGGCATAGGCCGAGGAACATTTGAAACGTTTACTGGAACGTGTGCGTGCCTGCGTGCGAGCGTGCGTGCGTGTGTATTGGGCCATTACCTTTTAAAGGAAATCTATTGTATCACATGATGTATAAATGCGCATATGATGAAGATACAAACACGTGTGAGCTTACCTATCATCAGCTGGTACTCGGCGCTTGACCCATCGATGTTGTCAACGAATTTCAGTTGGAAGCAGTTCTTGTCAATGACATCATTTGACGTGTCTAAAACTAAACAGGGAATGTTACATGAGAGAAGTATAACACAACACATACTAGATCACCTTTTATCTTAAGTTTCAACAATATATAATATCAGTGAGCTAAAACTATACATTTACTGAAATATCAGCGCAGTACGAATTACGAATTACTGTTATAAATGAAATATGGCCGGGCCTTTGGCGATGTATTCACAACATTAACTACGAGAACAATAATTTGGTGTTGCATGCGGAGTAATGTTTTTTTAGGTAATCGTTTGCAAATTCCAGAATTAATTAATTAAACAAAAAAGGTTTGAAATATCATACTTACAGCGATACATTATTGAATTCTGTTTGATGTGATGACGCAAAGTAATATATATCTTTAAAATGATAAAGCATGACTTAATGTTCGCACCAGTAAAGCGGTGTCACATCATTTCCTCCAAATGGACATTAGATAAGCTTCGAAAACCCCTCAAGCATGCATTTGAAAATATTCTTAAGTCTTTAGATTAGTACCCGTGAATTACCCCGGGTTAGAATTGGTCTTCAGTAACCCATGCCTGTCGTAAGATGCAATTAACGGGATCGGGTGGTCAGGCTCGCTGATTTGGTTTGACACATGTCATCGTATCCCAATTTCGTAGATCGATGCCCATGCTGTTGACCACTGGGTTGTCTGGTCCAGACTTGGTTATTTACAGACCTCCGCCATATAGCTGGAATATTGCGGTGTTAAACAACCAACCAACCAACTTTAGATAAGACCCTTTCAACACATGTATATTTTATCCAAAACGGACAATAATTTGGAGATTTTACGTGCGCTTTCCGGCATGATGCCTCTCAAAACGGCGAAACACTCGGTGAATATATACTACTGGAATAAAGTAACTGTGCATTATTTGATGCTATGCCATTTTTAATACAAAAAGATAATAACATGATTTGTGGTGTGTTCCTTCATCACTGCCGTGACAGTTGTCAGAGGTGGATGAGTTGGTTAGATCGCTAGTTTGTGTGCTGGCCATGAGGCGGCTTTTTTAGAGTGTATGGGTTAAATCCCCATAAACGGACTGGAAGTTCTACTTTACTCAGAGAGTCTAATCCCAAAAATATCAAATGTCACTTTGACAGAGTGTCATGCTGGAACGTTTTTTGGGTCCGGGCTTACGTATAATACTACTGGAATACAGTAACTGTCCATTATTTGATGTTATGACATCAATTAATGCAAAAAAGATAATAGCATGGTTTGTGATGTTTTCCTTAATTAGAAGATAAAGCTACTCTGTTTTCAATTTTGCGGTCCTTTATCGTTGATTTAAGACCGCTAAATGTAATTTAAAAACGATTAAATGTCTGAACCAACGCTTGTCCCAATTCAGCTAACGGGCTTGACGTAAACGTCTCTCCATTTCATCCTAAGCGTGCTCGACAGAGGACAGGTCCGGAGAAACAGCTGGCCAGGGGAGTACCGGAATGTTCTGCTGTCTCAGGAAATCTGTCACAACATGATCGACATGTGGACGGGCATTGTCTTGCTTAAGTGTGAAGTTACGTCTCTGTCTTTGAATAAACGACTGGACATGAGGTCCAGTGTTCTCATCCCTGTATCGCAGACCTGCCAGATGGCCATTAACAATGACATGATGCCTCCCATAACTTTTTCGCCACCAAACAGTCGACATTGACATGCACGCGTCAGCGTACCGTTCTCCTCACCGTCTGTGCACACTTGCCCTGCCATCTGAGCTGTCAAGATGCAATCTCAACTCGTCAGTGATCAAAACACCCCCCCAATCTTGTCTCCTGTACCGTAGATGCTGTCTGCACCAGGCAAGACGTGCCTGTCGGTGACGTTTGAGCAAAATTGGACGTATTCAGGTGCTCCCTCGGTCGGTTCTGGAGTGAGTGAGTATGGTTTTACGCTGCTTTTAGCAATATTCCAGCAATATCACGGAGGGGACCCCAGAAATGGGCTTCACACATTGTACCCATGTGAAGAGCCGAACACGGGTCTTCGGTGTGACGTGCGAACGCTTTAACCACTAGGCTACCCCACCGCCACGTACAGTCCTGGAATTGATTGGACGTAAGCCAGGAATGGTCCGAGCAGTCAAACTGGCAGTCTGGAATCGAGTCCTTAGATGGGTCACCCGAATCTGATTGTCTTGCTGATGTGACGTCACGCATGGACGGACGGTCCGAGGCAAATCTCTCCTGTTCCCATTATGTTGAAAACGCACTGCAAGCATCCAAGTATATCCCCTATCCTCACACAGTGTCATCGGGCCCAGCCTTTACGATGGGTGCGCAGACATACCAGACTCAATCGGAGCGCGAGGCAGTGGAACAGGATTGTCTTCGGTTCCGGGGTGTCGTCGTACATTGTGTTTCCAATAATTCACTTCCATCGCTTGTATTGCTACCTGGATGATAGCAGTGCGATGTACTTCTATTTTCACAATAGCGCACACCTTGCTTTCATTGTTGGATTCAAATGAAGAAATGTGAAGTTTTTAATTCCGTTCAGTACATAATCATGTAATGTAAATCCTCTTTTTAAGGTTTGTACACAGAAAACGGACCAAGACTGTCATGGCTGGTTTAATAGCAAACAATGCCTCCACACCACATCACACACCAAACCACACCCGAAGTTATAGCTTAATTTCATGCCTGATCGGCAGGGAGCCTATTTCCTATATTTTATTGACGCTTCTTTGTCCGTTGAAAGAAGTGTCAATAAAATACATTTCAAAACGCCGTTCACAATCTTTGCAATCGACTTTTTTTTCTGTTATTTGAGCGATATTTACATGAATAGTTAAAGAAAGATGAATTAAACATGTACGTGTATACAGAAGAATGCAAACTAAAGAAAACCCGATGAGTTTGGACACCCTCAGGTTAAACAATGTTTGGTTAATTAAATTATACTACAGTATACCCTGGTTAGAATGCCACCGTTTGCCAGTGTAATTTGCATTATAACCAGGGGGAAATGACTTTTGTTCCAGAAACAATGGTAAATGGCATTATATCCAGATTGACATTATGACGAGGGTATTATAGAGGCAGGAAATCCGTTCTGGCAAAAACATGGCATTATATCCAGGGTGACATTATAACCAGGGTGCACTGTATTTCAATTCAGAGGAAGAGGATGCGGTGACTCGTACGTAGGCGAAACGTTACCCATTGTCGAATAGACAGTCACTGGCTCTAGCGGACACGGGACTCGTGTGTATCTATCTGTGCCGCATCCTTACAGTCCGTCAACTGAACTTTTGGCACCCTGTTTTTAACAATTTACCTTTTAACCAAAAATGCCTTCAAAATGTTTTTAGGCATACGCTCTTTATATCTCATGACCTATCTAAGGTTTAAATTTCATAAGTTTATGCCAATTATTAAAGCTTCTTCTTAAGGAGCCATCTTATAAAAATATGAAAAATAGAAGTAGTTATACAAGGGAGTAAAATGATACGATGGAACAGCAAACAACATGGTGTGACACGCGTGCATCTTGTTTACATTGTTACGCCTGCAAGCAAATCTAAAGGGACTGTATAATCATCACAAATCCATTTTAAACAAGTAGATTTATTGAAGTCTTTAAATACTGGTTGCTCAATCTCTTGTATCAAGATCCAAATTTGAGCAACAGCTTGCATATGGTATGCTTTGATACATTGATGTCATGGTCTTCTTTTGAACAATATTTTCTTCAGTTTGCTTGACGATATGAACTCACTGGATCGATTTAACCGACGCATGACGTCCCTCACAACCCTTCTATCGAATTCATCAAGCTATCTTTTCTTTGCATGTTTGGAGACGGTCCCCGATTTAACTGTCACGTCATCGTCAGTCTCTGAAATAGTGTCATGGGAGATAACTCTTTGTTATGTTCTCTTACAGATCTTGGTGGCATTAAGTGTCTTTTGGAGAAACACTCAATTGAAAAAAGAGGGGTTTTTTTCGCTTTGCCTTGCGCTTGAAAAAGTTGTAAACTCTTTTGATGATTTACCGGTCATCTTTGTACAACATCGTTTTTACCACAACCTGTGTGTTGACGATCTTTGACATCACTTGAGCGTGCTAATGTAAATAAAAACCCGTGCATGTACATATCACGCTGACACACATTTTACAATGGTGTTGGCTTTTCCATCACGTGCGTTAACCCCTCGTAAAACTCTCTACAGTTTTACAATTATTATATGACAGGTTTAAAGGCAAAATCTTTAATAATCGTTTTAGAATTACTAAAATCGATATCTTGTTAGGTAGTTTTATGTAAATTGTGAAAAACAGGGTGCCAAAAGTTAAGTTGACGGACTATACGTGGCTTTTCTGATCTAAATGCATATATAAAAAAGAGCCTAAACGCCTCAAAAGAACCCAGCAAGTCGACCCTAATGAAGTTTCAAGTAAAACGCTCTTCTGTTTGACTTTACGCCAACACTTTACGCCTCCTTCAATGGGCATTTTCAACCTTGCTTTGCCATGAGTTTAGTACTTTCAGTTGAAAACATTGGGCAGTCAGCCTTTATTCCATTGCCGAACGTTACATAATCCAAGCGGGAGGAACAGAAGACCAAGTTACAGTTTATGCTACAGATACAACATTGCCCCTTTTGAAATTCTAACACAGTCAGTATCTGTTTTACGAATCCATAATCCAAAACGGAGTTAGCAAACACGTTTTACGTGCTAAGCTCGAACGAGGTGAGTTCCGTTTTAAAGTTATAATTAGGTTTTCCGAAAACATAGTCCAAACTAGAAGTGTCAATAATTCTTGTTTCATATACTGCGATGGAACCAAGTATTTGAAAACGGGAAATGTAACGATTCAAACACTAATAGTTTCAGAATGGAACTAAAACCATGGGACTTCAAAGATAAGTACACATTTTCCGAAACCGCGAAGGACGTACTGTAGAAACACAATGATGACACGTTATCTTAATGTTGTGGCTAAACGAGGCGCTCAGCTATATGAAGCTACCTCATTCAGTGACCATTCAAAGCAATGAATACTGCATTCATCGCCGTAAACGCCATATCCCTAACCAAATAAAATGCTATTCATGCTGACAATCATACGTTTTTCTTACTTACATGTATCTGAAGAACGGACAAAGAGTATCTGCCCCTCGGCCATCTTGCCAAATGTTAATAACGCCTTAAAGCGGGGTTTGAGGTGGTAATACTTTCCGACTATATTTGAACCATTTCAAGGGCCCAGGGCCAAGGTTTAGGAGTCCATAAAACACAGAAGATCCGAGAGTCAGCAGTAGATCCGTAGACCTTCCCATCATTGCCTCACACCTCGACCAGCTATGGATACAACATCAGGGCCGGAGAATACAACGATTACGACTTAAATGGGTCGGACACCCGTGGTTTCTACTCTGCCGACGCTCAACAGGACCAAAGACCAACGATAAGACAGAAAACCGATTGTTGATTGAAGGATCAGCCCCAACTTAGACAGTTGACCATATTTTGTTGGTGGACACTTACTGAAGACCTGAAGTCATGTCAGTGGATACATTTACATCAGAGAATCTACTGTGTGAACACAAACAGTACTAATAAGTCTTAATGATCAGCTTTATAAGATACCTATTGAAACCCCTTACGCTCTTACTAAATAGACAACATATATCAGACCAGTTTTATACAGCAGATTTCATTGATCTTTTGGATTTCTTAGAATGTTTCACCTTGGCAAAGTTTTCTTCACAATGTCGATGAAAGAGACATGTGTTCGTTTTTCCTTCTACCCGAGACCATATAATCTATAAAATTGGTCTCATTTCTACATACAAGAAATATAATTACATACATAATTATCTCAAGTTCAACTTGTTATTATGGAATATAATTTCAAAACGAAAACCATTTTTAAGATACCTTTCTAGCAGTGTCCAAAGTTACTTTACATGAAAGAATTCAAAATATTTTCATCGAAGATTCTGGTTCATTCTCACAAAAAGAACAGATCTTATCATTTACAGACACTTACTCCTATTGAGTTCATATTATTGTGCTAAATAGTGTCAGCGTTAATGACTAGTTCGGTTGCCATGTTTTGCCAGTGACCAGAACCATGAACTCTGGGTTATATTATAGGTTAAGCCAATACACGTTTTGTGGATGTTTCTAAGACTGACCCAAGTTTGTGTTAGGTTACAGACGGGAGTTTATTAACAGGGCGATATTTTATTTGCTTTTATTAAGCTGTTGAAGTTTTGGCTTGTAGACGCCCATGTCAACATAGCTGGGCTCCTTTATCCGCCAGCCTGCCCGGATCATATTTGATAGACCTCAACAGACATTGCACAATCATCGCTGTATTATTCCTTCTGGCTAAGTTTACTGCCTCGGTAAACCAAGTGACGTGTTAATCACTGATCCGTGGCGGAACGGGATAAACTATAATTGTTTCTACACTTTCCCTAAATCTACATCTGTCTTTAGAGGAAGGACAAGTAGTTTATTTCACTGATGTAAATGTTGCGTCCCTGTTGACACGCAAATACATTTTAGCATACAGGTTAATTCACATTTCGACTGATGAAGCAGCCATTCCTTTGAAAACAAGGGCGTTACGATCATGATTATATATGTGAGTCAGATGAAGGGGTGTTCTCAAGTTGCAACCTGGGTGTCTCACAGAACGGGTGTAACTCAGTGTGTGTGTTCAGTATCTTTGTAACCCAATAGACAATAGTACACAATATTTATGTTGTGCTCGATTCAGTCAGTCATGTAACGTTTAGATGTAAAACAAGGATTGAAACGTTTCTAACATGTCAGAACTCTACCAGTGGCCTATATATCCTAGGGCGTGCCTAAATAGTATTCAGTGAAGCAGTAAGTCAGCACAATGCAAGCTCATAAACAAGCCCCCATTGAATTTACATTTCTGGACATTGCAGTTTCTGGACAAATTATTCAAAAGTAACAGTGTTTTCAATAACAACAACAATGCTATTTGCACTTAAGATTTGCTCGTACTTTTAATGAAGATCAAAAAGAACTCAGAGCTTCTCTTTTTTGTCCACCGAATATATAAGTACAAAAGGCGAGCCGGGTCAAATGTTTACTGTTTTGTGTATATTTCTTCGTCTCACGAGGAGACCAAAGCAATCGTGTAATGTTTCGACGCGAAAAGCAGGAATGTTGCGCTTCTGGTGTAAAATATAAGCGACAAAACTCTTTCCATATTAAGAAGAAATCTCTGCTTAAATCAAAGTTGATTGTATGCTTCTGACTTTATCGCGGGGCGTGTTCGTTCTCACTATTCACCAACATTTACTATGTATTGATTGTGTGAATACCAAAGGAATTAGGTTTCATATTATCACCATGTTTAATGTAGTTCCTTGTGTAAATTTTTATCTTCCATGTGTGTTATGTGTTCTCCAGAAGTCTCCAGTAAAACATATCACAAATTAACTGTTCGAACATCTACATTTTCTCCATCTACATTGTCCTCCATCTAGTAACCTTATAAATCGGTCATCTTATCATACAAAACATCGTGGGAGACAGTCATAACAAAGGGTCTAACATCAATGTTTAAAGTAACTCTGGTGGCTTGTTGAGAGAACCATATTGATCACAACTGTGTTCTTGCTTCAGCGACAATAACACAGGTAACCATACCGAGTATGGTCGTGAATACATCTGTGGGATCCAAAATGGCGGCCAGTACGTAGCACTACCTGTGGTCATGACACGACCACCATTTTGCATGGCCGACTGTGAAAGGTATATATGACTAACTGTGTTACTCACATGAAGTGTCGTTGCCAGGATAACACTCTCGAAACATTCCTCGATGTCGGGTGTGGTAGAAACGTGCACTGGAAGTATCGGCTCGCTGGGTTGAAGTTAGTTTAGTCCTGTCCACTGTCCACATCACCCACCTGTCAGTACCGATGACGGCAGCTATCATAACTATAGCTATAACTCCAATAATATTTGCCGTTGTAAGACATACTTCTACTTTACTACATCCTCGTTCCCTCATGGTTCAGCTGTTGTTTCACACGAAATCCGAATGTCCCTTCCTGCCCGTGCCGTGTCTGCTCCGGTCTGTTGTCTCAGGTATGCAGCCGACCCGGTCATGCACAGTTGAACAACTGTTGTAGAACCGGTGGTATAAGCTGTCAAAGGCTGTGTGTATTTATAGAACAGGTGGGGCGAGGTCTCCTTCGAATGGGATTGTTTGTATAGGGGTGTCCACACAAGTAAGTTCAGTATATACTGGCGAAACGACATCGCCCTGAAACTTATTTGCTCCCCTAACAAAACTCTTTCGACAATCATCGAGTCTGGTGAACAGTTAGGAAAGACTATGTATGGGCATATATTAAGAAACGAAAACCAGTTGTGCATAATATTTCGCACAGAACCCTCCTTTCCCGACAGGCTGGGTTTTTTAATTGTTACACAAAAATCTGTTGTCTGTTGATATAACGCATAAGATTCGCGTACTAAGAATCTGACAGGGTAATCTGGTAATATTACACTTGTTCAAACGTATGGTTGAAGTATAATTAATAAAAATGCACGTACAATGCAAAGAAATGTTAATATTTAAAACCATTAATAGGAAACAAGATCTTTATACATTTAGAGCAAACATTCTGGAGACCAGATGGTATACATGTATGAAGACAAGCGATAAGGATAAATTTCTGTCAACTCAAAACTTGTAATGAGGTTAGAGGAAATGATCGTTCGGAATAATTGAGAGAGAGAGAGAGAGAGAGAGAGAGAGAGAGAGAGAGAGAGAGAGAGAGAGAGAGATTGCACAGAGAGAGAGAGAGAGAGAGAGAGAGAGATTGCACAGATTGCATGAAATCTTTTTACATAATGGCACTGTGCATATCTGGTGTTATTATCAATCCAGCATCCCGAACGTTAACAGGTAGGCGAACTCCTGCCATTAAAAACCAGCCCTAGGCAGTTCGCCTGAAGGCAACGCGTCCTGTGAAGGGTTTGATCCTCACAGCTCACCATAGTTGGCAAAGATGGTCGAGGGAACACCAGGTACGGTCAATGCGCCGTGTTTACCTACGCTTCGATTCAATGTTTTCCATCCGATTCACAGATCGCAGAAAACTATGTTGGCTAAGTAACGGCGAGCGGTATGAAGCGGTACAATTCTTGACTATAATCTGTAATGCATATGGCGAGGTGTAGTAGTGTCATACTTATTTCAACCGAATTGGTCACTGTGAACGCACATCTGACAGGCCAAAGATATATTGATGAAAGGTAACGTTTGCGTTTTGTCTTTGTTCAATTTGCTAGAAGTATCGGCAGAAATTTTGAACTGCAAGATGACAATGCTATATCACTTTGTCTCCAAGTCTTCATCGATTATGTCCTAGATAACTCTTTTTTATTCAAAGAAACCAAATGTCTTAGACATTTCTACAATTTCTTCAAGACATATCGTTTATTTTTCCCAACAAAATTCTTATATTTTGACAAAATATTAGGTCATTTATAACAATACTCACAGACAAATGAAGAATGTTCATCTGTCAATCTTTACAATGGCGAAAAGAAGAGAGAGATTTTCTCCTTGACGAATCCGTGACAGGCATGGACGGTAACTAGATTTATATTATTCATCACAACACACTATTTGATGTTACAATACGTATTTCGAATATTTTACCTTTCACCCCGCAACAGTAAATTAAAGCTTTATCCAGAGTCCAGTTCGCCACGCCTTTGGACAAATCCAAATCTATACGTGCAAAAAGTTTGACGTAGCCAAATACAAAGGGAAGAACAGACTTGCTTCTGCTCTCTATGCCGACTGGAGAAACGATTCCGGTCTATAGCTATCAGATAGGAGAAACGATTCGAGACGTCAGCGGAATTGAATGCCTACAGTTGGTGGGTGGACATCGCGAAGGGCGCAGATTTCGTGGATCTGGTCGGAGACAAATCTCTTTTTGTTGTCATCCTATATTTCCTATATCCTCATATGTCTAAATGGAAGTAGGATTTTCTGACATGTCTAGGACTAATAAACCCAGTTTTTCCACATGTCTAGGACTAGGAAACCCAGTTTTCCCACATGTCTATACCTATAGGAAAACCACCCTGCCACCAAAATGAGATTTGTCTCCAGACCAGATCCAAGAAATCCGTGCCCTCCGCGGTGGGCTCCCGGCAGGCGAGGTCAAAAAGCCCTTCGGTATCAGGTCTAAAAGGCTCTGCGAGCTATGGCAAGAGCCATAGGCTGGAATCGTTTCTCCAGTAGGCATAGAGAGGAGGAGCAACAATCTGTTCTTACCATAGTATTTGGCTATGTCAAACCTTTTTCACGTATAAATATCAGAGATTGCTTTTGATATCAGAGATTGTTTAATACTATTTGGTCTGTTGTACACACCCTGAAACAAACACACCCAGTACCCATAACATTTATCAAGTCTTGCAGTTTCAGGAAAATGAAGAAAGTCTCTGGGCTCTATCATCGGCAAGGAGTCCGCGGTCAAAGCCCGGCTTCCACCAAAATCGTAGTGTGACATTTGGTAGTAGATTATGTGTTGTGTATACCCCTCTCACGAGAGTAAATTGACACGGTTCCCATGCGTGGTTTCATATTCCGGATGGGACTCAACCAAAGAAGTACTAGAATCTGTACTTTACTGAGAAAGTGTAATCCCAGACATATTCTGTTATATTTGACCACTTTCTGGAAGGCATTTTGTATTCATACCTGTCGGTCATGGAAGCCGTGCCAGTACACACTTGTCAGAGGTGGATCAGTTGGTTAGATCGCGAATTTGTGTGCTGGCCATGAAGCGGCTTATTTAGAGTGTGTGGGTTAAATCCGCATAAACGGACTGGAACTTCTACTTTACTAAGAAAGTCTAATCCCAAATATAACATACGTCACATTGACTTAAATGACATTATAGAAACTGCACTGAACCTAGACATTTCTGATAACAGGCCAAATTTTGTGTTTAACCTGACCGGAAGGGTGTTATTGGTCACCATAAAAAAACCAAAGAAAATCAAGGTTGGGGAAATACATTTTTCGTGCATGGTTTCGTGGGGTGGGATCTGTTGTCTTTTCACCCACATTTCAGCAGGAATGCGCTTGTCATGGCTACATAGTTCATATCAGACTTCTGATTTATTTTCATACTGGTTTGTATTTTCATTTATAAAGATGCCTACTTTCATAAAAAAAACTAAATATTTTAATTATTCACCGATGTCGGCCATCTTCAATTCAAAATGGCCGCCATTTTTAATTCAAGATGGTCGCCATATCAAATATAAGAGGGTAAGCTTCTTGTCCATGTTTTTCTGAGCTTCATCCCATCTCTCAAGGGAGGTCATTCAAAAGCGAATACCGCGCAAAATATCATATGCACTTTTATTTCGAACAATATATACAAGTTGTTTCTGTGACTTCATGACTAGATTGGTTGCAGGTTTGCTGTGAGAAATCATTAAAGCCTGCTTATTCTGCTTGTTTGACAGGAAACCTGCTTTATCTTGAGGGACTGGAGTTGTGTTCTTCGCTATTATGTCTGGTGAAGGTATTTTCTAAATTGTTCTCATCTGCTCAGGCTCCTTGGTGGTCGCATTTCCGGCCATATGTGTCAAACACTACACAACATGGGCGATTCTGTGTTGTCCGATTTATGACACTATCAACATAGATCTTGCATATGTCAGCAATAGCACCAATCTTTGGTCATTGTATATACGCTGGAGAAGTGCACATCCATCAACGACTACGCCTCGTCTTGTGTATGCTTCTTCTTTGTGGTAATGTGCAAGCAGATATTTGGCTAGAGCAGACTTTGGGCATTTTCTCATGTATCCATCATCATGGATGAGAGCTGGTGACACAGCTGCAAGTTCAAAGAAGAAGACTTCATGAGATGGAGGACCACTCACAAAATTTATTGTTAGTAATCGCTGATACAGCTCCATTGATGACATCCTCAGGTGTGCTGATAGGCGGATACATTTGTTCATGGTGGCAAATGTGACTACTTGTGATGCCTTCTTCAACACAAGCTTTCCAAATGTCATCCCCGTCATATTTGACTGAATCTTTCTTCAATCTGAAATGCTTCATCAACATTAACTCTGTCTGCTGCAACAACTTCAATCACTGGCAATATTTCTGAGCTGATGTTTTGGAGCTGCCTTAAAGGGTTGGGACTCCTTAGAAATGAAAGGATTGTCTACATATCATCACAATCATGTCTTATCCGGCCTGGGTTCATATATCTGTGGTGGTCAGCAATCAGTGAGGAAGTGTTGGTCATCTGTGTTCTGAGCCACAATATGGGCAGAGAGTAGCCATTTGGTTCGTGAGGAATCCTTGTGGGTGATGTTAAGTTTCCTTGATTTTTGCCTGCTCTCATTAGAATGTAACATTTTGTTACTGAAAGGCAAAAGAAACGTCGTAATATTAGAAATGACATTTGAGTATCAATGGAGTATTTGAACCTATTTTTTTAAATATACACCAGAAGTCAAGTTTGAGGAAACATGAATCGTGGTCGTATAGCCTGCATTGCCCAATAAAGTATTGTTTGAGATTGAAGTTAGAAATGTTTTTGTTTTTTGGAGAGGGAAAAATTCCCACAAACACAACATTGAAATCGAGATGCACGTGCATCATAAATGCATTGAGGCATAAATTGCCGGCTTGAATGGCAATCGTTCACTTGTTTTCTGAACACAGCAGCTATGACTAGGTTAACGAGAGATCAACCTATAAGCTATTGGACGTCTGCACGCTGGTCAACATGCTCGAGTCATTGCTAATGACTTCAGTTGCAGCGTACGAACGATAGAACGTCTTAGAGTGCGATACAACGCCACCAGCAGCACTGATGACCGTCCACGTAGTGGTCAACCCCGTGTAACAACACGTCGCCAGGACCGTCATATCGTCCATCAACACGTGCAAGACCTATTCGCAAGGGCCAGAGAAACAGCTTGGGTGACCATAGGAAACCACCAGCGACCAGTCAGTGACCTACCATTCGGCGACGTCTCCAAGCCAGCAACCTGTTTTGTCGATGTCCTGCCAGGAGACCCATATTAACCCAACGTCACCGCCGGGAACGTATC